GTCTGTTGTGAAGAAAGGGCAGCTCTCAAGGGAGCTAAGCTGGTGTGTGAAATATTTATATTTCTAAGCCATAGAGTTGTAGCCAGGGTCAGTATGGGTGGAGAGGCCATCTTACTGGATAGTGAGAACCCAAGTGGTGGTGGTGGGAAGGTGTGACAGGTTGTGTATACACCTGTGTGGACAGGTGGCCGGGGAACTGTTTAGGGTAAGCTGATCAGCCAAGCTAGGTTCATGGGCCCTAAAAGCATGCTAGCTTTCTTAGCAGCCCCATGGATAAATAAAACTTGCATGTTTTAAAAAATAAAAAAAATAAAAATTAAAGAAGAACTGTCATCAAATTAGATTTCCTCTAGCTTAGATATGTACATTTGATTGTTAGAATATTGACCATGGGACTTCTATCTGTTGTTGTGAAATTTCATCTTTCTCAGTTGTGGCGTGTTCAGCCTGCAGTAGTTTTGAATTGTCTCCCGGTCGTGTATCATGTCAGCCTTCCCTCTGGGCTGCAGGTTGTTCCTCGATACATTCAGCTCATCAGTCATTTGGGTTCTTTGAGTCGTACTGGTGCAGCTCTGTTCAGTCTCCCTTTGTCGTCCTCTTAGTAACCAAGGGTGCATCAGCCTTTGCAGGCGGCCGGAGGGCAGAGGGTTGGAGTCTGTGCCAAGATACAGAGGAAGCTAATCATACCGTGACCCTGACCTCATTAACATTGTGCTGGAACTAAAAGAGCCAGCATTCCATGGTATTGTTTGACTTTGGATTGTCTCCACTGATTTATGGTCATGGGGTCCATATTCCCGCCCTCTGTGGGAGGCAGATGTTAGAGCCAGATGAGAATGTGAGAGAGTGACTTACTGACTCCTTTGAACTCCCTAAAAATCGGGCGTTGGATTGTCTGCTAGTCATTGGGCCCTGCTGCTGGTGATTTGGCCCCAAGACAGACAGGACTGACCTGGTTCGAGTAAAGCATGGGTGGGAAGAAGGCCTCTTAGAGTCTGGAGGAGAAATGGGTGGGCTGATGTGCCGCAGGTGGGGCTGAAGTATCACATTGGTAGTGCCCACCCCTTGAAGGAGGGCTTCTCAAACTTGAATCACCCAGAATCTTGTTAACACATTCAGCAGGGCTGGGTGGGGCCTGGGATTCTGCGTTTCTAACAAGCTCGCCCCATAATGTTTTTGCTGCTAGTCCTGCGGAGCACACTTTGGATAGCAGGGCCTCACGAAACGCTGGGGCACAAATGAGACTGTGGGGTATTCAGCTGGCGGCTGAGACCTGTAAAGCTGAACCTCGAGTGCCACGAGGGCCTGTGAGCTCCGACTTGCAATTGTCACCTGCTACTTGGGCCTGGCCTCTGTTGGGGTGAGACTGAGGGTCCTCAGCCCTGACACTTCCATTTGGGCCTTTAGTAGCTGTTGGGAACAGCTGTGCATGGATCCCCTTACTTTTCTAGGACAGGGAGGCTATGGGGGGTCTTCTAGGTTGGGATGTGGCTAAATATGGGGCAAGTTTTTATTTATTTTTTATTATTTTTGTTTTTGCTAAGTTTTAATTAAATTGACTTCCTCATTATATGTTGGTTATATTTCGTAAGTTTAACTAGATAAAGAAGGCTCTAACTTCCTTCCATTAAATCTGCATTTTCCCATATACCCTATAGCTTTGAAGTTATGTGATCAGAGAGTTTTCAAAAAGTTGCCGGTTGTTTCATCTGGAGTTTTATTTCTGAAACTTGCCTGATACTGGGCTGGGGTGCATGTTCCGAGCCCCTCCCCTGGGACGTGACTTTGTGGGTCTGAGTAGGTCCTAGGAATCTATATTTTTTAAACAAAGCTTCTAGGTGGTTCTTATGACCGGGCAGTTTAGAGAAATATCAATTTAGAAACCTGTTTGTCTGAGCCTGCGATACTGGCTGTGTCTGAGGGTCACCCGCACCCGTTCATTTCTTGGCTTCTTGGATACTTGGTCGTGAAGGGCTGTCTTCTGTCCCATTGGTTCCACTTCAGTTTTTATCTTGATACATGCTTTTGTCCCTACAGACAGGCTCTTTCTTATCTTGGATGGAACCAAATCAGAGAGGCCTTTGTCCACAATGTAAGAAGTCAGTTCTGTGAAGCCTTTATTTTTAGGATGGTTTTACAGATACTGATTATTAAGTGCTTTGGGAAATTCTCAAAGATACTGAACGATAGGCTTGGGCCTCTGCAGAGACGTCTTTAAGATAAACTGCCTTGACGCTGGCTTTTCCCACTCTCTTTTCCCTACTTTGGCTCAGACTCTGGAGGTAATAAGCATCTCCTTCTTAAGTGGTAGATGCCCAGAAATGGATGGAGAAGGGCTCCCACCCTCCAGGGACCAGCTTGGTTCTGATCCAGGTGAATTGGAAGGTGAAGGACTTGGGCTTTCCACATTGTTATGTCAACATTAACCTCCATTTGTACAGATGCGGGATCCATCTCAGCCCCACCCTGGGGCAAAGTGAGCTTATAAAACAGATGGAGTAGGACATGATCCATGGAGTGTAGAAATATATTATCTACATGGTGGAATTCACTTTCTCATGTGCCTAAAAGTCTACCATTAGAGGAATTTGGGTGAAGTGCTTCTATTTAAGCCTCCTATTAGACATGTAAGCATCCCTAGGACTAGAAAAAGTGAGGGGATAGAATCCGGGCCTGAAGCTGTTATTCTGGGTGAGTCCATATGTCTGTGTGTTTGGTCCTTTATTCAACACATGATTATTATGCACTCAGGGAGCTCACAGTCTAGTGGGGAGAGACCGGTAGAAGAGCCATGTCATCGCTGCTTAGCTAGGTGTGGCAGTGTAGGATGAGTAGGGTGTGTGGGACGTGTAAAGGCCTTTGGAGGTGTGGACACCACAGGCACAGGGCAGGTGGGAGGCTAGAGAGCTTCCATGTACAAATGCAGGGTGCCACACATGGGGGGGCAGTTGGGATTTCTGCAGCACTACTTGATGTCCACTGGGATTCTAGGTTCCCTCTGCCCTTGTACCACCACATGGTTCCGTGGCTTGTTGTTAGGTCCTGCAGCTCAGCCACCCTCACCACGGCATCAGCACGAGGGGCAGACCCTGGAAGCTGAGTGGTGTGTCATCTGATGTCATGATCGATGTTGATCTGAATACTATTTTTATGCTTTGGACCCCATTTTTCCCTTCTATAACACAAAGCAAGAGCTATAAAAACATAAACAACAATGTGAGAATTTGCTGTTTACAGAAATATTCTTTTGGGGGGTGGAGGGTAATCTTTTTTTCTTTTTCTAGGGAGAAAGTAGATAATCAAAGAAAGGTATCTAGGCTGGGCTCTTCTGAATCCATTATTTTATGGCTCCTGGGGCTCAGTGTCTTTGTGACCACAGAGTTTGTTACACAGTCCAGAAGGAAACTTGACCCTCCACTAAAACCACAAGGAGTCTTCCAGGATGACCTCACTGTTTCATTTCTGGAGTGGTCAGATTCTGTAGCTAGGTGGGAGGAGAAACTTTTAAAAGGAGAAACGTGCATCCACTTTCCTCAAGTTCCCTTCGCCTGTCCCGAAACACATGAGGGCTGCAGGAGAAGAAGGGCCTTGCCAGGGCATATGAAGTCCCCCTTTAGTGCTGTGTCCCCACCATAGAGGTGGATTGGTCTTCTCTACCTCATTGGTCTGCAGGGCTAGGAACCGAGCCAAGCCTCGACAAAACCAGCTTTGTGTATTTTCTTTTAAACAGAAATGGGCTTCAAAGGCCGGTAGAGTGCCTTGAGCACAGAGTCACTGTCGGGTCAGTAGGCAGGGCCAGCTCTGTTCCCAGTCCCCCCAGGACTTGCCCTTAGCAAGCATCAGAATCACCTGGAGGGCTTGTTTAAACACAGATGGGCTGAGCCCCGGCCCAGAGATTCTGAGTCACTAGGGACTAGTGGATAATTTGCATTTCTAAAACCCTCCTAGGTGATGCTGCTGCTGCTGCTTGTGGGGACCAAACCTGGAGACCACACTGTGGCTCCCAGGCACTTGCCATGGGAATGTTGAGACAGGCAGACTCTGTCCCTGAGTGGTGGCTCTGAGCTGTGCCTGTCTGGTGGGAACCTCATGCTGGAGGACTGTAATTTGGAAGCAGTGGTTCACTGGAGATGCTGGAGGGAGCCTCAGTTTTGCTTCTTACCCCAGGAGCCTTCTCTCTGGTCCTGTCATGAAACACCAGGACATGGCATTTTGGGCAGCTAAGATGGGCTGTCATTACCTCCTTCCAGTCCATTCTTCCCTTTGGTGTTGCAGGAAGCTTTCTGAACCCTGCCAGTCTCCTATTAAGGGCTTGCATAAGCCTTAAGATAAAGTCCAAATTCTCCTAAAGTAGCTGCAAGGTCATTTGTGATCTGAAATACTCCAGTGGTCACCAACTGTTTGCATTTGTGAACTCACTGTGTTCTTGCTTCTGGGGTGTCCCATTTTGCTGTTCTCTCTGCCTTGCTGGCATGCTCTTTTGCTTACCTTCTAGTTAGGACAGCCCCTCAGCTTAGACCTCACTTGCTCTGGGGAGCTTCCTTTGACTCATCTGGAATCAGCTGGTGCCTCTGCCAAGGTTCCTGTGTTATCCTGTCTTTCCCTCACTTTGGCTTGAGCCACTTTGCTACCTGTTTACTTCCCTTTGTGGACTGTCAGCTCCCTGAGGGCAGAGAGCCCATCACACGTTCATGTATGCGTCCCTGGGTATATAGAAGGTGCCTGGCATATAGAAGGTCTTCTTAATCATTCCGTCAGGTAGGTACTGCAGGGGAGGAAGCTTAGGCACAGGTAGGTTAATTACTTGGCTTTTAGTTACCCTGCCACTGAGTTATAAAACCAGGGGACTCTACCCTAAATCCGACCCCTTGGCCAAGTGACACTGGAGGTTTTCTTTTCTGAGACCAAGATGCCTTCACCATGGTCTGCAGGTCTACTGGGATCATTAAAAGACTGGCTACTGGTTTTTTAAAAAATGGCTTTTTCCTGTTGTTTTTCAGGTGAACCGAGAAGCAGACTCTTGAGTTGACAGCTGGCCCAGTTTCCGCATTTCGTTAAGAAGCACTTCGTACAGGTAAGGGGTTGGTTCCTGGGACCGTACACGCCCAAGAAGGTTGTCGCGGTTACTGCTGCTGTGACAGTGCACTGAGACAACCACCCCAAATTCTCATTCACTGGAAGGAAAATCCTTCAGTGTAGGGCAACAGCTCCTCTAAGGAAGGTATAAAATGGTCCCCAGCTTCTGTTGTGAGTTACCCGATGAAGATGTTTACCTGGCGGGCTTTCTCCTGGGCGTTGCCTGCCTTCTCATCACCCACCACTCTTTCCTTTGTGCCGACACTTCTCCCCTCGGTTTGGGTTGGTGCTTTAGAATTCCTTTTCTTCATTTAAGACCCAGCCCAAATTTCACCTGCTATTTCTCAAACTGTCTAAGTGAGAGGCCGTTCGGAGCATCGCTTTTTTCTGCTCTGCAGCGGAACAAATGGCTGCTGCTTTATGCCCACGCTGCGCTTGCCATGGGGGGCTTTACTTGCTTGCTTGCACACATCTTTTCCCTCTAGTCCGTAAGCTCCTTTTGCTGCTGTCTTCCACCTCGCATGGTTCCTGGCATGCAACAGATTTTCAGTAAATGAAAGAATGTTAGTTTGAGGAAAAAAAGAAAATGCCCTGTGAACTAAATTAAGGCACAGCCACAAAAAAAAATCATAATGTATTCCTAAACCAATTAAATGATTTGTAGAGTGCTTTTTGGATTCATTATCTGGCTGTTTGTTCACATTACCACACATAGTTGAGAATTTACCATGATGTGGTTAAATCAATAGGAGTTTAGATTCTTGAAAAAGATAAGAAGTCAGGAGTCTTTTTTTGTTGTTGTGTTACTCCTAAGTAGTGTAAGTGTTGCTAGGTCAGGGAGTTGTAATGTATTAAATGGCCACCTGTGGCCAGGACCAGTCAGCTCTCTTGGCTGCCCTTGGAGAGAGACACATTTGTCAGCCAGACCCCGGAAGCCCCAGGTAGCCCAGCCATTGGTATGCAGACCACCGTAGGATGGAACATGGGTCTAAATGTACAGGTGGTAGGGAGCAAACGATAGACTCTCCCAACTGTCAACCCAAAGGAAATAAAAATATTTCTCAGTGGCTTGAGTATTTTGTTTTAAAACACATTTTAAGCTTAAATAATTTTAATAAGCTTTTAAATCAGTGTGTTTCAGTTTTCTCCATACTTCTTAGTAAGTTGGGTGGTTTGAGGGGTGCACTGATTGGCTTGAGGTGATATTGCTCTGTGCTGTGGGTTGGGAGTAGAAACCCTCAGGGTGGTGCTTCACCTGAACGTTGGAGCCTGAATGGGACCTGGGTCCTTTCAGGAACTGGTGGGTGCCTGAATTCGCTGAAGCTTGGGGGTGGTGTTTAACTCTGACCAAAGACCATTTTCACATAGGAGAACGTGGTCTCCAGGTTTTGGTCCTGCCTTCTTATTCTGCTTCTAAGATAACATTACTGTTCATGTTATCGTTCAGCCTTTCCAGGTGCTGAACCGGGTGTTTGCAGCACTAAAGCAGAAAGAAGTTGCTTTCTGGTTTCTGTGTGTGCTCTCCACTACCTAGTAGAGGCACCTGGCCAGCAAGTGCCGTGTAAATGTGGTCGCTTACCTATGGTTTCTTCTCCCTGGTACGGAGTCCCAGTTATATAGCTGCCTGAAGGAGAATCTGGCAAAAGACAAGGCAGTAAAAGAAACTTGACTCCTAGTTGACCCTCTTCATGGTCTTAAAGTTTCCTAGGGCTTGGGTGGAATGAGGAATTCAGCTTTGCCCAGGAATGTCCAGTCTCCATGGAATCAGTTTGTCTATCATACTTGAAAAATAAGCTAAGAAAATAAATTGAAATGAAAAGCCCAGATGTTAAAATATGAGTGGACTTTAGCAGTCTTTGGAATTTGAGATGTTACTGAATATTTATGTCGCACCATCCTTGAAGAAGCTGAGTGCGGGGCACTGGTTGTGTGTCTGGTCTTCACACGGCCCAGCACATGGGCAGTTCTTGCCAATTCATAATAAGCAGTAACTCATTGAGTTTTTGGGAAATGTCTGATTCTCAGAGTGCCTCTTGTTTTACAATATACTCCTAATCGAGTTAGAAAAAAATAAAAACATCAATGAGGTAAGTCAAGACCTCAAGTTATTGAGTTGATCTCCTCCGTATAGGCTCACCTGCTGGTGTATGTTCAGGCTCATTTCACAGAGGTTCTAGCTGAATCTTGCCTGCCCACGTCATCCTAATTAGAAAGTCCAAGAAGCAGTATGGTACCTGAATTTGCTCATAGCTTCTGAATTTGCACTGTATGTTTTGGACTTGTAATAAGGTGCTGTTTTTTCATTCATTGAAATGTTTACTATTTCTAAAAATGGGACTGCTAGTACCTTCTCACTTGAATTTTTATACCAGGGTGTGTGTCTTTTTAATATGGTTGTTTTTGTGCATTTGACCTTGATCCAAAGATACTGCCCAACATGTGTCCAGGGTACACATTTGGGAGTAATCAGAGCAAAGGCACACGGCAGCTGGTCTGCTGGTCTTGGACGCCAGGGACATTAGCATACTGGGCTCTGCTTGACCATTTATTTTCTTTATTGCTGAAATGCCTGGGAACCAGTATAAGGATGTGGATAAATGGCACATCTCTCCCCTTAAGCTCTTTTGTTGATTTTTTTTTTTTTTTTAGGGTAAAGCCTCTGTTTTCTGCTGTAGTTCCTTAAAGAGGAATCAAAGTCTCCAAAATAGCCTTTCAAGTTCATCGTAAAGCTGCGCCCATGTATTGACATCTCTGGGAAGAGTTTGCTCTATTCCATTTACAGAGCACAATCAATGCATAATTCAGGAACCACTTTTTACTTGGATCAGGTAGCTTGTCAGCTATGATTTGTGGGCTGGTTTGTCTTATCTTCTATAGGGGTTTTGTTGTTGATTTGAAAGGAAACTTATAGGTACTTGTTTCCAGGAAAAAGTTGATTTAAAAGAGAATATATTAGACTTTCTGCCTTACAAAAAGTCTGAGGGTATTGTTTTATCACTCTCATGTCCCCCTTTAGTTAAGAAATGACAGCTCCCTGTTCCTTGGGGTTTTTTTTTTTTTTTTTTAAAGATTTTTGGACCTGAGTTAGAAGGAGGCCCTTTGGATAACTAGTTAATAAAAGTAACTTTTCTAAATAAGCAAAAGGTGGAAAAAAATTTCTTCTTCCATCTCTTTTAATGATAAAGAGTAAATAGCTGGCATTTTATATGATTCCTTTCCCCCATACATCATTCTTATATTGAGAACAATTTCTGAGACTTCTGGAATCCTGTCCTCCCAGGCTTCTTCTTTGGATCTGGGAAATCCTTGGTTGGCTCCCTTCAAACCTCTTCCTTTGATGCTTATCTTTCCTCTACATTGTTTCCTAAGGGCACACGCTGGTGCTCACCTCACCTCGCCTGCGCCTGCGTTTCATCTGCTTGCCTGACCTTACTGCAGAGTAGTCCTCCTTCCCTTTATGGCTACAATCTGAAAAAGAAAACAAACAGCTGAAGCTCCCCTTGCAGCCCAGCAGGCTGGGGAAAATAGCACTCATTCTCCTTGTTGCTGGGTTCAAAGTGCACTTAACGTTTTATGGGGGTGACCGGCCCTCCCAAGGTGCTGGTTTGAGTGGGCCTGTGTTTTAGCCTGGTGGACAATTAACCATGCTGACCTCTTCCTTTTGCCTTTGCCTTTCTGGCTGAGTTGACACTAATGCTCTGAGTGAGAAGGGGTTGCTCCTCCTTTGAGCCAGCACTAGGCCGGGGTCTTGTTCAAAGGGGATGCCTCTGAAGCATGAAGATTGAACTGATTGTGACCCCACCCCGGGGGAGGAGAAGCTCCCTCTGGGGAACCGGTGGGAGGAAGGAGCCATCAATTACTAATCCCATTGGCCTGTGGGTCTTTGGGGTCTCATATCCGTTTAAAGGACAGAGAATTGGGGTTGAAGGTAATAAAGTAGGCCTTAAATTAGAGGAGCAGGGGGTCATTTCATCTAATTTTGTGGTTGTTACTGAGGAATAAAAGGCAGAGGAGATAATTTCATTAGTCTTCTTTGAGATCTTTATCAGGGCGAGGTGGCATTTTGGGATGTAGCAGAGGCTCACAGGGGCCGCGCATTTCCCCTCTGGTAAGCCTAGAGCTAGATTTCCTTAGTGCCAGGGCAGGGCCTGGGAGGCACAGTGACCCTTTAGCACTGTGGTCAGTAACTGACCGTTACTGCTGTAAGTGAGAGATGAGGACTACTAGTCCCAACATATGATTCTGTCTGCCACTCAGGAATGTGGCATTCACACTGAGAATGAAGACATGCTCCAGAGAAGCAAGCTCGTTCAGAACTGGGATTCTGTTTCTTTCGAGCAAGGCTAGCTGGTCTTCTGTTGCTGACTCATTTGGAGCAGCAGCATGATCGTCAGTCAGATTCCTTTGAGCTGAGCATTATCCAGTATCAAACTGTGTGGTGGAGGGTTAGCAGGGAAGTGAGAGCTGTGCCTTCCGTCTGACTAGTGCTGTTCTGTTCACAGTGTAAGTTCGTGTCTGTTGCTTCATAAAAGCCCTGCTGGGTAGGTAGGTGTTTCTGTCTGTGTTTGCTGTTTGCAGAAAAGCGTGTAGGGCAAAGGGGGGTGATGTGACTGGCCCTGGGCCTCTTGGTAGGGAAGTGGGGAATATGGATTTCATCCCTGGACTCTTAACTTTCAGGTTAAGCTGTGGTCATAATTAGAAGAAACAGGAAAGAGGAGGAGGAGAATAGGAATGATTTCTCCAAGAGAAGGGAGAAAGAGGTAGTGGTGATAAATAGTACTTAGACCAGCTACCAGCCAGTACCATCCTCCAAGGCAGCGTGGTTTCTTTCTTGGGGTGGTGGGGGAAGTGGCCGGGGTGGGCAGGGAAGGTGGGGGAGGCTGGGAAGGGGCTGTCGGGATGTCCGACACAGTCCTAGGCAGATGCCGATTAACTTCGGAAGAACCTGCGCCTATTGCCAGAAAGGACTGTGTCTTGCTAGCTTATATCTGGGGCACA